GATGAAAGAAAGTGAGAGGGGGAGAGAGAGAGATGAGAGAAAGTGAGAGGGGGAGAGAGAGATGAAAGAAAGCGAGAGGGGAAGAGAGAGAGATGAGAGAAAGTGAGAGGGGAAGAGAGAGAGATGAAAGAAAGTGAGAGGGGGAGAGAGAGATGAAAGAAAGTGAGAGGGGAAGAGAGAGAGATGAGAGAAAGTGAGAGGGGGAGAGAGAGATGAGAGAAAGCGAGAGGGGAAGAGAGAGAGATGAGAGAAAGAGAGAGAGGGAGAGAGAGATGAGAGAAAGCGAGAGGGGGATAGATGGGAGTGAAGGGAGGAGAGAGGGATCAAGAAATGGGAGACGTAGGGAGATGTTAGATCGGGAGGGTAGAACATTAGAAAAGAGAATACGATGAACGAGGGTCGTATAAAACTAAGCTAAGAATCATTCACATAAATCTTCAGTTCACGCATTCAAAAATGCCTCAGAATATAAATCAAGGCTAAAAAAAATTCCGAGGCCCTTAGTGGGCCCCTAACCCCACGCCATAAAGGCTTTGCACTAGTTTGCAATTTCGTACATTTCACCATTTTCACGCCCCCCCCCCCCCCTTGGAAAGTCCTGGATCATTCCCTGGTACTGTGTAACTTGATATTAATTTTGTCTATCATGATTGTCTTTGTGACCTAACATTTTTCTCACATACAATAATAGTCCATCATCCACAAATGGCCGGCAGACATTGGTCTAAAAACGGGACAGCTGGAAAGTTGTTATAAGAACGGAAATGGGCATGTAATGAGAGATATTATAAAGATTGATTATGAGGCAGCAACAGGTAAAGGGGGCATTTCAGGAAGATGACAATACATCGATGATTAATTAATATGTATCCAACAACATAATCCTCTCCGCTTATGTATACAACGGAGCGTAGTAACTGAGCGAGACGAGTTTATAGATAGAACACCCAAAAACAAAAATACAGTGTACTTAAAAAAGCCTTAATTTAAAGCTATCATTTCCTTAAATGTTTCTTTTTTTTCTTCTTTTTTTTTTGAATCTCCGGAATCGCCAACCCTGGTGGCAGAAAATATCATGTCTTCCTTTCAAAGTTGAAAATGAAATTATTTTTATGACACTGCGTTGTCAAAGTAGACTGGCTGATGAGAGAAAAATTATATCGGAGGGGAACTATTAAGAAAATTCAGCTATTTAAAAATATACATCAACAATGGTTTTATAGACAACTACCTCCAGAAAATCACCCCACCTGAGGACAACCGCCACCCCAAAGGACAATACCCCCCCCCCCCCCGAAAAAAAAATCTGCTTTTATTAAAAAGAAAATAATTTCAGGGTGGACTATCCCTTGAACAGGGGTTGATTTTTCTGGGGGGGGGGGGGGGGGTAATTGTCCTAGGGGGTATTTTTCAGTGGTGGGGGTAGTTTTCCGGGGGTTGGTTTTCGGGGGGGGGGGATTGTCCAGGGGTTAATTGTTCTGATACGATAACAATACATTTATTTTCTTCACTTCTTAGAGCGCCGCTGGAGTTCAACCTCAAAGTAGAAAAGATATTACCTCTGTAGGCGGTTTTACAAATATAGTTTGACAGTTGAGGCCTACAATTATAAATTCTTGACTCAAGCAACTGAATCATTACAAAATGTAAATGGAAGGGTTAAACATTAAGGCATGAACCTGTGTAAGCCTTCTTTTATTGGTTTTTTCCCCTTTCATTTTTTTTCTTCTAGCTTTCTTAATTTCTCTTTTTTCTTCTCTCCTTCTTTTTTTTTCCTCCTTTCTTTACCTTTTTCCCTTTTCAATTTTTAAAGAGTATTGGCACCCCAAATAAGCCCACCTCCCTGCATACGCCAGTCGCCAGTGCAGAGTAATGGAGAGGTGATGAGAGCGTATTTTAGGCCTTGGCCTATAGTGCAATTAACATATAGGAGATCGGGTGTCAAAAGTGCCCCTTTTACTTTTACTTTGAAAGTGCCCCTATTAATTTTTTAAAGTGCCCCTTCCCCTTTCCACCTCTGATAAGTGCCCCTTTTATTTTGACACGTACCCCTTTTCCTTTGCAATAAGTGTCCATTTTCCATTCTCATAAGTGCCTTTTTTCAATCTCTAGTAAGTTCCCCTTTTCAGTTACGAGAAGCGTCCCGTTTCACTTTTGATTAGCGCCCCCTTCACCTCTAATAATTGCCTTATTCAAATCTGAGAGGTTCCCCTTTTGCTTTGTAAAAAGTGCCCCTTCCCCTTCTTATAACTTACCCTTTTTCATCTTTGATAAGTGCCCCGTTCATTTTAACATGTGCCTCTTTTTCTTTTTAATAAGAGCCACTTCCCCCTTCTCATAAAAGCCCCCTTTCACCTCCGATAAATGCCCCTATTAAAATCTGATCGGTGCCCCTTTGCTTTCAATAAATGCACATTTACCTGCAGGGGCGTACGCAGGATTTTTTCAAGGGGGGGGGTTTTAAAATATTTTGCTCCCGAAAATTTGAAAATCGCGCCGGCCGAAAAGTCGCTCAGTGGGGGGGGGGGGGGGGGGGTAAGCGGACACTTTTTTTTTTTTTTTTTTGGAGGCCAAAAAAAATCGCAACGACTCAGCCGGCAGAAAAGTCGCTCAGTGGGGGGGGGGGGGGGGGGGGGGGGGGGGGGGGGGGGGGTAAGCGGACACTTTTTTTTTTTTTTTTGGTCTCAAAATTTCAAAATTTGACATTTTTTTACGTATGGGGGGGGGGTAAGGTCACCTTTTTTTTTTTTTTTTTTTTTTAAATAAAAAAAAAAAAAAAAAAAAAAAAAGCCAAAGGGGGGTGTTTTAGGTTTTTTTAGGGGGGTTTACATACATTAAAATACCAAAGGGGGGGGGGGTTTGAACCCCCAAAACACCCCCCCTGCGTACGCCCCTGTTTACCTGTATCATTAGTGTCCCTTTTTCATTCTCGTGAGTGCCTCTTTTCATATATGGTCAGTGACCCTTTTCAGATGCGATTAGTGCCCCTTTTCACATCTTTCCTATCCCTTTTTCATAAATGCCCATTTTCACTTCTTATATATGCCTCTATCAAAATCTGATGGGTGCCTCTTTTCCGTCGACAAATGACCATTTCTCATTCTCATACAATCCCTTTTCATCCTTGGTGCGTGCCTCTTTTTTTAGGTGTAAGAATTGCCCCATTTTCACCTCTGATAATTAGCCTTGGTACTTTCACACGTCCTCCTTTTTTCTAATTAGTATCTTAACCCTTTTGATAAGTCTCCCCTTTCCCTCTCATCATTAAACGTGCCCCTAATAAGAGCAATCCCCCCCCCCCAAAGCTCGCTCGCTACGCTCGCTCGTATTTTTGAATATAAGATGTTATAACTATGTAACTTATCAAAGGTCTTTTCAGTCTCCCGTTATGAGAATGTGCTTATAAGTATAACCCCATTAGGATTGGGGTCTTCCTCTTTTAATATAAGATGTCATTTTTCGCACTGCGACCTCACAAATCTTTAAAATTTGCTCGCTCGCGAATGAATTTCAGACTAACGCACCCAACAGCAAAGTATGATGAAATATCTTATATGATGTATAAAGAGAAACAAATATTGAAATCATCCCTGAAAATGTAATCACAATATAGGGGTATATACCAATGTCTAAAACATTGGATATTTCCGCTTTGAGATTTACCTTTGAAGGTGCCCCTTTTTCTCCAGAAAGTGCCTTTTTTGTTGCCCCCCCCCCCCCCCACTTTGTAAGTTGCTCCACCGCCTCCGGACTCAGCTATAGGGACCTGGAAATTGTTTCTGCTCTCGTTCATTGAAAAGCTTGGTTATTAGAGGATTATGTTATAGTTTGATCTTAATTAAGGGTATCTTCTTTTATCTTATTTGTTTACAGACCGTGATCATTGTTAAAGTCTACTGATCGACTGACACAAATAGCCAGATCTTATTTATGATCACGGTCTTCTACATTTTTCTTCTTCTTTTTAGTCTTCTTGGGTGATGCTTTTTCTGTTTCGCTTGTGTTCAATGGTGGCAGGCTCCTTCGTTTTGTTGGTGTATCCAAGGCAGTAGTCGCCATTTCAAACAATTTTCTGATTAAAATCACATAATTTGTTGTCCTGTAACAGTTCTTGATGTAATGATATCTAGTATCATTTTGGTTTTGTTGTTGTTGCTGCTGCTGCTGTGGTTGTTGTTGTTCAAGATGATTAACGTCAGGGCCGTAGCCAGAGTTTGATGTTTTTGTTTTTGTTTTTTTTTTTTTTTTTGGGGGGGGGGCACATACATGTTATTGATCGATGTCCTGGGAGGAGTCTAAAAAAAGTTAAACCAATCTTGGAAAAAATGGGGGGGGGGGCACCCCCCCCCCTCCCCGTGGCTACGGGCCTGATTAACGTTATCCACCTCCTTCTCCTCATCATTAATTCATCATCATAATGACTGCTTGGCAGTTAAGTCATCAAAATAGCTTTTGTATAATTATGCAAATCATTCAGGGTATGAAATAAACTCTGCCTCGACATGCAGATTGATACCACCCCCTCACCACAATCAATACAGTCCCAGAAATAATCAACAATTAATTAAAAAAATTAAAAAAAGTAATAACCCGAATTCGGTCTGACATTTTCTTCGAGGTCAAACTCATCAGCAATCTTTTAAAAATAATTCTGATATTCAAGAGGAGGATTACACCGATTAGCGAAATATGTCACAGCGGGAAATATTTGTAAAGTAATTAACCCGGGGAATTCCCTTCCTTATATTCCTATAATCGAAAGACAGGTTCTGGGGGCAAAATTTGCAACCAAGTCGTGCAGTGAACCCTAGTCATCAATAAACAAGTGATTTAACTATGATGAGTTTAACTTAGAACTCCAAGTTTAGGATTATAAATTGGCATGTCACTACTGTGTCAGACACATTTTAGTAGCCCTATATTACAGTGCGTAATAAAACCTGTACTAGTTTACCGTGAAAGGTGACCAACCGACCACATCACATATTTCTCTGTTTATAATATTGTTCCGTGTTAAGCTACTGTGGAAAACTTTCGCGAGATCGAGAAGTTATGTTAGATTACCCGGTAGTCATTTTCATTTAGGTTATGTGAACCTGTACGGCAAAGTTGGAAGTCATTTTGAGTGTTGTCTGTGATTCAACCTGATCTTTTTCGTAGACATGATTAGTTTCAGTGGATTCTACTAGAAGCAGTAAGCCAAGAATAAAAGGTGAGAAACGGGAGTGTTGTATGTGCGACGACGGCACGGTGCAAGGCCAAGGGTGTGTGAAGTCAACGTGTGTATATTCATTGCATTGTACAGGTGTAGGCCTAGTGTGTTGTACCTTGCCCGCATGCAGCCGAGGCCGAGGGGAAACTGAGCGATGAGCTAACGGGAAAGCACCGGGCTGGTGTGCAATTGTGTTAATGACGTGGTGCTTCGCACTCACTTGCACCTTCTAGATCTATGTCTTGACTATGAGCTTTAAAAGTCTGCATTTCGAGCTTCTGTACATGTAGACCCCAGGTTTGACATCATGTCTAAGTACAGACCGTTTGAAAATAAAAAGATATTAACTTAATCTGTTCATGAACATATTTTGTTTTCTTTTAACTCATTACTGAAATCTGACATTTTTGTAAACTCGAAATTGTAATTAATTGGTTATCTTCTTTATTTTCTCACTGAAAGACGAAATTACTTTGTTGGGCCGCAGTGCAGTGTAGTCTGTAAAGACAGTCATGCCTTATGGTTGACTTCTTACTCGTCTGCTCATTTCACAAAGCCAAGGACTGGGTGTCGGATCACGACATCGATTGAGAGGAAGGCATTTAATCTAGTTTTATGAATATTCACACCTGACACACATCCAGCTCTTGAGTCTTGTGCATGAGTGGCAAAAAGGTTGTTTATTTTCCCAGTGATTCTGTGTTATTTCCTTGAGGCCTTCCAGATACTGTATGCTCTTGGTTAATACTAATACTTATAGACCCAAGTAAAACCGATTCCTATTATTATTAAAGGGGATGTAGCATGACAAGACTACACATCTTTACCGTGTCCTGACTCACGGCCAATCGGGTATTATATGTATTCATGTGTGTGCCACATACATGTACGCAAAACCGAAGCATGAGGAGAACTTTGGTCTATTTCGCGAACGCTAGCGCGCGCTGACCCAGCTAATTAAGTCTATGTTTACGTGCAGTTGTCCAAAAGAAGCCGTAGATGGCGTTTACCAGTAACTGCCATGCCACAGCCCCTTTAAAGTAAGACTCATCCCCACATAGAGTTGGTTTACATCATCCTCCTTGATTGATACTCATTGATAGAGCCAAGTTTATTTATGTATTGCCATTTTTTGTGTTTTTTCTATTCCAGGAATAGACGTCGGTTTGGATTATCATTGATTGTTTTTGTGCAACTCCATTCTAAAAAAGAATGGCGTCAAAGTTGCGCAATATGGTGAGCAAGAAGAAGAGAAGATTCATCGATAAAGGCTTCGACTTGGACCTGAGCTGTATCCTTTTTTAAATGGCGGACAAATATTTGTAAAGTTTAAGGGGAAGTCCGCCCTGATGATAAGTTGGTTTGAATAAAAACAGAAAAATGGGAGAAAGAAATCAGTGAAAGTTTGAGCAATATCCAATTAAGAATAGGAAAGTTATGAATTTTTGAAGTTGTCATCAGTTTTTTAAAATGTAATATCAACAAATATGTTTTTGAAAATACAATGTACGCTCAGCACGAAAAAAGAAGAAAGTGCACACTATGATAATTAAGATTTTGAAATAAATATCTAATAGTAATACTAACATATCTTTCACACAATAAAAAAAAAAAAAAAATCATCTGTAAGATGATATGCTTTTGGAATTGTTCCATTCATGCATGAGTGAGCATAGCCATTTAACAATGAATTAGTCTTTAAAAAAAGATTGCAAAAAATGGGGCACCTGGCCATTCAAATGTTGATGAGCATTTCTTGTAAAAGAAAACACAAAGGTAAGACATCTTGACACTGCTTGTTAAAACCATGCAGTCCTGAGACTGCAGTTGACATATTTCTATTTCTTTAAGGTTTATGTCAAAATTTTGAACAGTAAAGCGTGTCTACTATCTTCTTTTTTTTCTTCCCCTGAGTGTAAATAAAATAGGAAGTTTGTCTGGGGCTTACATGGCTCACAGCCAAGGATCACAGCTCAGATCAATACAGATCATCGCTTCGGGATCCTCCTTGTTATCCCCTATTATTTCCTGTATCACCATAGGCCTGTCCTCATCAGCTCAAGATTGCCAAATATCCTGCTATTTGAACTATCCCGATCGCAAATTATTCAGTTAATTTGCGTCTTCATCAGCCCAAAGTTGCAATTAGCGGGAGATTTGGTTGAGATAATCATCCCAAGATATCTTGGGCTAGTTTGCAAAATATCCCTCTGTTTATCTGGTGCGTCCTCACCAGCCCGAAGACTCACACTATGCGCGAACGCTGAGCAAAATATCTTGAGCTCAAGTTCCGACGTCAAGTCTCGAGCTGATGAAGACGCGGTTTGTAACTTCAGGATTATTTCCCAAATTAAAAATAGCAAGCTATTTGGCAATCTCGAGCTGATGGAGACAGGCCTCATGTACATGTATACACTAGACAGGCCTCTGGTGCAATCCTTGGTGCACTGGCATCTTGAAGACAATCTAGTGAAAAAAATAAGCATATACTTTTTTTTTCGCTGGAGTACACGGTTGAAATTTATCTGTATTACTCCAGGTAGGCACCAGGGGGCCCTTTCTCGAAACCGTCATGAGTCTAACTTCTAAGACTTCAGCCCATTGAAACGTGTGTAATAGAATTACCACAGGTTTCTATGGGATGTCCACAAACTTCGACTTATGACGGTTTTGAGAAACTGGCCCTATGTACCTAGGGAATGAACACTGGCAAAAAAAAATACATTGGGGCTCGGGCGAATTAGCCCCCGAAATGCCCAAAAGAGCCCCCGAAAGTCATAAAAAAGCCCAACAAATTTTGCATAGAGTTCAATGCAAAACAAATTGAAGAGTGTTACTCTCAATGCAAGCAACCTTGAAAAGTAGCCCCCGAAATTTGTTTGATATTTTTTTCCCTGAACACTGGGGTACATGAACAGTATGTACAGACAGTACAGTGAATATGTACATGGTCCATTTTGGGGGAGGGGGTTGCTGCCTTCAGTGCCTTGCTTCAATTTGTATATCGTATTTCTCTATATTTGTACCTTATTCGGAAATCACTGGCACTATGATGAAAATGTGTTTGGATTGCATTGAGTCCATATTTAGTCTGGACCGGAAGCAGATTCTTTTGTAATATACGAAAGCTCTCCGCACTACCCGATGCTGATCGAGCTATAATGTAACTCTTTGGGTTCATTGATTCTACACAAGTGTACATGTATGTTTTTGACAGTGTGGCAGGGAAAATTAGACAGCATGGGATGATTAGGTACATGTACATGCCATGTGCGCGTCCGTGGAAACAAATGTGCATAGCAGATTTGATACAGTTCAGTTAATTGTTATAAGTTTGAAAGTAGGGTCCCATGCGTTTAGGTGTGGATTGAGTATCCACTTTGGCAGTACATGTAAATATAAAAGCAATATCTGCCCAATTAGAGCTTGGACCAATGAAAATACTTTATCTTCTTCTTTATTTGATGTTTTATTTTAAAAACACGCTTAGTTTGCCCTGATAATAAACTGGGTTAGTCTGAAAGCTAATGTAAGTCTTATCAATAAGAGCATTATCAAGTAATTCATTTGTTATTCTGAGGAGATAATTTATTTTCTCCCCTCTTATCTTTCACATTACTGAAGATGATTTTGTTTGTACAGACATTGTCTTTGAAAGCTGCTTTTATCTCGTTTGAAAGCGAAATGGTAATCGGCCCACCGCCATAGAAGAACTTTATCTTATCATACTATCAGCTTTATGGGTCACTGCTGCTTGGGGCCACAATCACTCAACTCTCTCCCTCCCCCTTGTTTGGCAGGCAGTTCTTGACCATTTATAAAACTGCTATAGTATGATACACACATTTGCATGTTAAAGGGAAAGTTTGAAAAAGAAGTGTACATGTATTTGCAATTTTTCTCCTGGTGAATATATTAGACCTATTTACTTGCATTGTTAAAAATTCATATTTTAGTCTAACCTGTATGTACTGTACATACAGTACATCTATCCAAGCAGTAGTGAATTGTACAGTGTATGCTCATCACAAGGTACGGGTTCAAATCGCAGCCCGGCACTAACGTCCTTGATTTAAATATGTTGGTAAACCGGTCTGTTGTAGTGCAGTACCCTAGTTAGAAAAGATTTACCCTCAACTTTTCTTTATGAGGTCCCCATTTGTGCAGATATCAACCATTAAGTCGTAAATATGGAGCTGTGTTAAAGTTCTCATGGTACACTTCCGCATGTTAATGTAATTAATAGGAAGAAATTAATATCCTTATGTAAATATGGTAGCAAAGGTTGCAAAGGGCAAGCAAAAGGTAGCAAGTTCATTTGTATGAAAGCAGAAAAATAAGAGAAACAGAATATTCAATAGAGAAAGTTTGAAATATGAGATTGCTAGATAAACTAGTAAACTACACAACCATTAAGTCGTAAATATGGAATTCTCATGGTACACTTGCTTATTATGTTACTGTATCAATATGAAGAAATTAACTTCCTTATGTATATGGTAGCAAAGGTTGCAAGGGGCAAACCGACCTTTGTAGCAAGTTTATTTGTATGAAAGTAGAAAAATAAGAGAAACAGAATATTCAATAGAGAAAGTTTGAAATATGAGATTGCTAGATCTAAGCTACTCGACCATTATGTCGTAAATGGAGCTGTGGTAAAGTTCTCATGGTACACTTCCTCCTGTAATACTGTATTTGATATGAAGAAATTTATATCCTTATATTTAAATATGGTAGCGGATTTCGTAAAGGGAAATCCAAGTTTATCCAACCTTTGTAGTAAGTTCATTTGTATGAAGACAGAATAGAGAAAGTTTGAAATTTGAGATCACTCAGTGAAAAAAATACACTGGGGCTCGGGGCGAATTAGCCCCCGAAATACCCCAAAGAGCCCCCGAAAATCAGAAAAGAGCCCCATAAATTTGCATAGAGTTCAATGCAAAAAAAAAATTTAGAATGTTATATTCATGCAGGCAAGCTTGAAAAGTAGCCCCCGAAAAATAAATATTGATTTTTTCCTTGAGATCACTAGATCTAAGCTACTCAACCATTACAGTGTAAGTAGTAAATATGGAGCCGTGGTAAAGTTCTTTGATATGAAGAATTGATGTCCTCACAGTATGTAAATGTAAATAAGTCCATGGAGTTCGTAAAGGGTAAGCCAACCTTTGTAGTATTAGTTTATTTGTATGGAGGCAGAAAAACAAGAGAAAGTTTGAAGTTTTTCAGATTATAAATAATAATGAAAGTTATAAATGTTTGAAATATAGAGATCTCTAGATCTAAGCTAATCTCAACTTGAACTTCGCAATTTGGTGAATGGATTTTGATGTACAGTACACCTATCATCATGGTCCACTCTCCCATTTGTCATTTGTCATTTACACAAATGTCATTAGGATAATTTCTATTTTTCTCCTACGTAAGTGCCTTCTCCCTGGGGGCACTACAGGTTCTCAAATAATTGTATTATGGATAGCATAATATTATAGGTCCTCTAGAAAGAAAAGACCCTGATCGTTAGTTATACATTTTGACAAATTTTAGTCATTTTGTGTGTTGAAACAACAGAAATGTGTACAGCACATTGTAGATGTACGTCACATTGTCACCAAGTCGGCCAATTTAAAGTGATAACAACTTTTTCAAAATTTCTAATTTTTTCCTGATTTCATTCAAGCTTTCACTAGTCCGCTTCTCTTGATTTTGTCTGCTTTCTTGTAGAGTACCTGTCTATTCGATTTTCCTTTAAAGGCACACTGTCCTACTTGAAGCTACTTGCTCCCTCTATATAGAAAACTTCCCCAATCGGTGCCTGTTGGTCCCCCATGATCCTCTTTTTCTTATGTTAAATGAGAGCTGAGTTAATGAGATAGCCTCCTGCTACAGTGACCTCGCTGGCTCGCTGGGCGGTCTAATCCCTTCTAGTTGAAGTAGTAACGCCTCCCTTTAATTTTGTTTTGTACATTGTATGTCCCTATACACATACGGGAAATTATATTCTAGACTGAGCCAACAAGGTTACATTAGGCCTGTCCTCATCAGCTTGAGTTAGCCAAATAACCCGTCATTTTAAACTATCCCGATCGCAAATTAGCCACTTAATGTGCATCTTCATCAACCGCAGTTGCAATAAGCAGGATATTTGGTCGAGAAAATATCCAGATAAAAAATATTGGTCTTGTTTCCAAAATTTCCCGCCATTAGGGAAATAGCTGGCTATATCCCGAGTAGTGCTGTAGTCAAACGTTTAACCGTCCGGTATCCGACCGCCCATGGCGGATTCCGTTT